TGGTTTATTGTTATAAAAAGTTGGTTTTAAACTTTAAAATATAAACTGATTAAAATGGGCTGTACTTACTGGAGTAAAATCAATGGGAAAGTAACATGATGTGACTTCAAACATTTCCTCCACAAAAGGTCCTACAAAATGGACAAGAAATATTACTAGTCATCTGGATATCTTGGGAATTTTTCTCTTTTTTTTTTTTTGGGGGGGGGGGGGGGAGGGGGAAAGCAAAACAATATTTACAGTCACAGTTCAGGACAGATCTTATCAAAAGTGGAGTAGTTCAAGCTTTGATCTTTCCAAATCAAATTTAATTAATAAACTTCAAGGAATCGTTACATTCCTTTTTTACAATGTTTTAAGAGTCTTTTTTAACGATGAATTTGCAGGTTAATTACCATTAACAACTAACCCCAATACCCCTAGCTCTTTTGACAAAGATAATTAAATAATCATTTTAAGTTTCACAGTAGCAATGTCTATCTTTGGAATAACATTTTTAAAAAACATAAAAATTCAAATTTGAGTATGAAAATTTTAGAATATCTTAAAGAGTAATGCAGTTGAATTGCTTACTTCAGTATGAATCAGCATATGAAGTTTAACACTAATTTAAGAAAAGTGAGGTCAAGGTCAAAGGAAAGGTCATGGTCAAATATTTTGATGCAGTTGAATAGCTCTCATCAGTATGTATCTGCCTATGAAGTTTGATAACACTATCTTGAATGGTATCTTTAAAACTGAGCTTAAGTATGTACAACACACTTACCCCAAAAATTTCCTGTCGTTTAATTTTCGCTATTTTTGTATATTTAGTACATGACTATATCTACTGCCTGGATGCATATTTTGGACAAAATCGTTTGAGTGGTTTTTGGACAGAACTTCTGAAAGTTACCCCCCTTTAGTTGTTTACAAGGAGAGAAAATTTTTAATCAATGAACTACTTAAACCTACATTTTCAATAAAACCAGGTTAGATATAAATGTCAAATTTCATTGGCTTATTCCCTTAACCATTAAACACAAAAACATAGTCATCTTTTTGATATACATATCATCAAAACAATTTTTAAAGACCTTAAACTGAAAAACTATGAATTTTCTAAGCCTTGAAAATTGCGCATTTTTCAAATTCAAATTTTTTTGTGAAAAAACCTGTCGTTTAATTTTGGTAACAAACTTTCTTTAGGTAGGTGATAGTATAAATAATCTTTATAATTTTTTGTATAATTTTTGTACGACCAGTTTTGATTTAACAGCGGAAAAATTACCCCCTCCCCCTTTCTCAATAAGTCACGTTCCCGTGCGTCTTTCAGACGGCCCGGGTCGATCACTTTGTTATATAACATTTTAGAATAAGTTTTCTATATCACAAATGTAATAAGTTTCGCTATAAACCCTGAAAAATGCTGAGTCACACCGGAAACAGTTATGTCACGCCGGAAACAGTTATGTCATCCCCGACGGAAACAGTTATGTCATCCCCGACGGAAACAGTTATGTCATCCTTTCGATCACGTTCACGTGTTTTTACGTTATGCATTTTAGTTCGGGTTCGAGATTTTATGACGTCGGTTGCTAAGCAAAAGTAAACAACACAGCGTATTTCTTAACGTCAAGCAGACATTTTTGGATTATTTGTGTACATTTTAACGATTTTGAATGATTTTAAATTTACTTTTAATTTTAAAAATGTCATATAACATATACCACATGGCTTCTCGGGCGGCTATACCCGAGATTTGCCTCTTCGGACACAAAGCCTGGAGTGTTATGTCAACCACTGCCGGTGGCCTCGGGGGACAAAAAAAAACAGGGCGTTGCGGGCACCTCGGGGCAAATATTCTGGTATGTCACCCTCGAAGCCATGTGATATATGTATAATATGAATCTACAAATACACATTAAAAAAAATTAAATTGCAATATTGCTTTTGCTTCAAAAATATATTAACTTACAAATTTAAAAGTTCTCATATGTAAAGTGTATTTAAATGTAGATTTTTAGGCAATTTTTGAATACCCCTATCACCCCCCACCCCTTCCTTTTTTGCGTCGCAGACCAGATTAGCTTTTGACGAAACATCGTTTACAGTGCAAATATACTGGTATTTCGTCAAGAATTCCGGAGGTATGCATTAGTTTTTAAATTCATGAATGCAGAATAAATAATGACGACTCTTTTTATATGTATCAGGAAAAAATTACTGAAAGATTTTAGTGTTTAGTCCATATACGTATGCATTATGCATTCCATATCACATGAAACCTGGATACGAATTCAAGTTTTGTTGAACTTGAATATGTTGATTTTTAATTTTATTTCTTTAATTTTATTCATTATAAAAATGGTGTACATTCAACTCTTCTGTGATATAAATGGAATAATTGTAATTTCTTTCATGTCATTATTTCAAACGAGACAGTATGTGGCCGTGGGGATACACCGACATTTGCATTAGATGTACATACACCCCTCATGATATTGTATGCATTTCTTTCAATGTCGTCACTTCTAAAGTTAAAATGAAAATTCCGTATTCGTCCACATTAACTTCAAAATATCAAACATTAAACTCTTCATCTATTTCAATTTATATCAAATCCCACATTGATATTTTTTAAAATCTTATAGGCTACGTTTCGTTTTGATTCGAGGAAATACGAAACGACATTGTTGACAGAAAGTCAAAGTTACGATTTGCTGCAATAGGATATTCATAAATGCAGATAATTCCAGTACAAGTGAACAATTCTTTTCAATTCTATACTTACATTGTGTATATGAGGTCTATAGTATTCAATTCTGGATTTACCAGGTCTTGCTGTAAATGTATCTGATTCTGTGGAAAACCGTGAATAAAGGAGAGAAAATAAACATTCTCCTACATTTTCAGAGTTGTTCCTCTTTGATCAGTAAGGGTCTGAGAACAACATCGATTTTACATTGTAGAAAGTTTATTGTTTATTTATTGTTGTTTTATTTTATTAAAGAAGAAAAACAATATTTATATCGTGTATGCACAAATTGTAATGAAGACCATTAATCGGAATGTTATATAGCCAATTGTACATAATGGGAATTTCGGCAATGTAAAATAAAATTTTCAGAATAAAAAAAATGCTGTGCTTTGATCAAAAATACAATTTATTGTACATATATATGAAATGAAATGAAATAAACATTAAGAGATGGTAATTTATGTCTTGCTTTTTATGGAGTTTAATCGGGTTAATTAAAAAAAAATACTTATTGATTGAGTATGGCACGCACAATCACAGCCAAGCCCCATGTCCCAATTTTCTTTCATGATTGATATACATCGGGATCGTTTTACTCGTCGTTTTGACGCTTTATTTTTTTCGTTAAACTTGACGTCACGTCAAACGTTCAATTGAAATCGCAAGGGTTATCTCCCCCATGTGTGTACGTCTTTAACACTCATTTAAGAAAAGTGAGGTCAAAAGTCAAAGGAAAGGTCAAGGTAAAAAAAAAATGTTGATGCATTTGAAAAGCTTACATCAGTATGCATCAACATATGAAGTTTAATCACACTATCTTGAATGGTATCTTTAAAACTGAGCTAAACACCAATTTAAGAAAAGTGAGGTCAAGGTCAAAGGAAAGGTCAAAGTTAAAAAAATGATGAGGCTCTTGCATAGCCCCATCAATATCTATCAACCTATGAAGTTTGATGAAAATATCTTGGATAGTTTCTTTGAAACTGAGCTTTGAACTGAGCTTAATGCAAAGTGTGATGGAAGGACAGAATTTTAGGAGGGACAGACATGACAAACACTATATGCCCAAGCCATATTCATGGCGGGGCATAAAAATTAAATTTTATAAAGAGCCCATTATACGAAAACTGATATAGAAATGAAAATTCACAAAAATCAACTAGTCTAGAACTTAAATACATGTACCCTTTAGACAAAATAATATTCTGTTCAGTTGTTGCATGTTTCTATTGAAACATTTCCTTCACTGCATATAATAATTTCCTGACCAGCCCCCTATTGTTATATCTATTGTACAATACACAGTCACTGTGTTAGATGATACAGACATTTAAATCTATTTTTATTCACATAAGAAGTCAGCGAAAAAGAAGGAAGTAAAACTGGTAAAAATTTACGGAAGACTGATTTCAAGATTTATACACTGATAATATGCACAGGATCACTTAAACCTTGCACACACAGGTAAGTTCTGTAAGCTACATTGTACTTTATCAATGGAAAAAAAACTTTGTTTATTGTTAATCAGGGGCAATATTCAGACCCCCATCCACCAGCACCCCTCACTTTGAAAAATTTAAAAAGATGCTCTTACAAGGAAATAATCAACTCCACCTTAAATGGCCTCTTTATTTATGGCACTCTGAGAATCTAGTTCATACTAAATGAAGATGTTTTTATATTGTACATTTATCTGAATTTTTTTTTTTTTTTTTTTTTCTCAAACCAAACAAGAGGCCCATGGGCCTCAATGGTCACCTGAGTTAGCATTTGCTTTATGAAGAAAGAATACACATAAAAGATAATGAAAACTCTTATGAATTATTTTTCGTAAACAGGAAACTTGATAATATAAATTTGACTCTTTATTGTGGCTCAATCCTAGCCTTTAGGTTCACGAATTGAATAATCATTTCTATTTTGCAATGTTATTGAGTACATATTAAAATTTATTCCATGTGAGGCTTACATACTAAAATGAAGAATTGTATTGTGACCCTACTTTACTTAAAATGAACATTGATTTCTTAGATTTCTTTCTATACATTCCATTAAAAAAATTGACTACCCTGTAATAGCCCTATTCTTGAACCAGTCTGGATTTCAATGATAGAATGATATAATATTACTTAATACACAGGGTCAACCATGGAAGTCTTGGGCACTCCCCAGCACTGGCTGATGTGTGACATTTGTGAAGAAAACTGTGTGTACTACTGCAACTCATGTAATAAAAGGTTGTGTGACAAATGTCATACAGAACACCACACAAATGAAGACACCAAAACCCATGACCTCATACTGTACCAGCTCCGACAAAAGAGTCTCGGAGAGGAGAAATGTCCCCACCATCCAACCAAAGATCTAGACATGCTATGTGAGGAATGCCAGGTGGCTCTCTGTTACAAATGTTCGATGACTGAGGCACACTCAGGCCACCATTTTATTGATCTTGAAGAAATTTCCATAAAAAATTTTGAAATGTACGAGAATGAGTTGTCAAGGATCCAAGACCATTTCCTGCCAGCTTGTCATGAGGTTTTGAATGAAATCAAAGAGGATGTTCCAAAAGTAAAGAAAATGGTTGCTTTGATTCGGGAGACCATGACAACTGAAGCTAATGCCCTCAAAAGTCTGGTGGACAGAGTATTATCTGAGAACTTTTCTGAATTAGACAGCATAGAAGAAAGAATTCTGCATGATTTGACTGCCCAAGACAAGACTTTTACTAACTATATTTCATATTTACAAGAGCTTCTGAGAAAATACCAATCAAAACTGGCAAAGAAAAACCTGGAAGATTTAATTTCAAAACAAAGGGAAGACAAAGCTGAAGAAATAGACCCCATCCCAGAAACATTTAAACCCGTTCTTCCCATATTTACTGGAGGTCAGTTTACTGAAGATGATATAAAGAAGTTTCTTGGTAAAATCAGCTTTCCAAAAGTTACAAAAGCAAGAAGACATGTTAGAGTTGAAAGCAGAAGTGAAGAAGTTGATGTGTTCTTACATGAAGATGGCAAAGAACAGCAGAAAGGAAAAGTAAACCCGAGACCTGATAAGCAGGTGACCTTCTCCGTCTCTATGATTAAGGAGATCATGGTCCCTCGTATAAGTTTTCTTTTCCACATTTCCTTGGAGACCTCCAAGAGGTTTTGGGTCAGCAGTTTTGATGAATACCTTGTCCAGACCGATCTTCAGGGGAACCTGCTGCACAAACTTCAGATCACTGGTGGGATCATGAGAGTCGGTTGTCACACAGTGACAAAGGAAGGGGACCTGTTGTTTGCGGACAGAAAGAACAAGTGCATCAACAGAGTGACTCCAGACAAGATGGTCACTGAATTGTTCACCACTGAAGATTGGGAACCCCTTGGGATTTACTCCTCTCGCATTAACGGGGACATCTTGATGGGAAAGAGTAAAGATAAAGACAGAGAGGCCAGGGTAACGAGGTACAGCAAGGCCGGGGTCAAACTTCAGGACATACGGAAGAAACACTGGATAAAGACCCTCTACGAATTCCCAGCCTACCTAACTGAGAATAACAATGGAGATATCTGTACATCAGACATTGAAAAGGAGGCTGTAGTGGTGGTCGATAAATCAGGAAAACATCGATTCTCCTACACAGGTCAGCAGTCTGAATCCTCATTCAGCCCTAGAGGAATCTGTACCGATGCCTTTAGTCACATTTTGGTGTGCGATGAAAACGGTAACTCTGTCCATCTCCTAGATCAGGACGGTCATTTCCTGTCTCTTCTTATAAATCAGAATCACGGACTTAACAGTCCCTGTGGTCTGGGAATGGATGAAGAGAACAATCTGTATGTGGGGGAGTTTGACAGCAATACAGTGAAAGTGTCCTCATACCTAGATCAGTATTAAACGTGTGACAAAATAGTTACCAGGATTTGGGTAGAGACTAGAGAAAAAACATTATGCAATGTTACATCACCGATATGACATGTTTAACCATTCATTTTGTACCTGCATGTACTTAAAAAGTGGGCTTCATATTTTAGCGACTCTGGCTGTAACCACAAGCTATATCATGAACACCATTAATTAATCATTTCTAAATGCAATACATAGTGCAGACACATGATGTGCTACTTTATGGCTTTGCACAAAAAATTACACGGATATACATATTTTTGTGCTTATATACTCAGGACTAACATCTGAATTGGCAGTCAATATCAGAAATATGTTATATTAACATAGTGTTCATAAATTGATGCCATTTTTCTTCTTTTCTCTATTATGTCTATATTCAAATTTTTCTAGTAATCTTAAGGTCATCTTCAAATTGTAACAATTTATGTTGACCTTGGAGTCTAAAAATAAAAATAAGTTTGCATGTTGTTGTTTTTCTTTTTCCTTTTACAAAATGAAGTGTAATTATGTTACTTTACGGTCAGACATCAATTTGGGTAATATTTAAGGTAGATATCTGTAACATATTTACCTAGAGAGAAATTAAGAATGATTGTCCGAGCACAGTGGAAGGCCAGTAGAAGATTCCGAGGGTCTTTTTCTGTATCCATGGACTGAATAAACCCAAACACAAAATCATTTCCCATTCCCTGTAGCTCTGTAAAACAATAGCTTATAATTACATAATAAATATTACAAGTATATTATCTCTATTTAAGGAATGAAGCTTATTTTAACTTTTGTTATACAGTATAACATAACTTGCAGCAGTTAACGTTTTTAATATATTTGATCAGTGCTTATTATCTATTCAAGATATATAAATGTAGTCCGGGTCGAGTCACACAAATTGTTCAGACAAAAATATATCCATCATGATAAGCAGATACTGCTACAACATTATTGTTCATAATAAGAAATATGTTGTGTATGTCATACATTAAAGAAACCAAAAATAATGTCAAAATATTTTTAGAAAATTACTTTCCCCCCATAATGCCAATAAAAAATATCAATAATCAAATGCCCACTCCCTCCTCAGTCTTCTTTTTTAACATGTTTGATAACAAAGAATATTTAGGTCATTCTTCAATTCACATCTTTTCACCGATGAATTGATTATACTCTATCAACAATGTTTATTGTCCGTTAATTATCATTCAATTTCCTCTTAAAGAAAAAAAATTAATCATTCTGTGTGTGTGTGTGCATTATTAAATGATGGAATTTTCAATCTCTGGCCCGATTCTGCTGGTGTGTCAACTGTGTAACTGCAGGGAGTGTAAAATGTGTAGCAAAACCCGAACCGGATTGGAGATTTCTAAATTGAAAACCGGGTTCATGTTGAAGTTCAACATATTAATTTATATAGAATTTGAATTATATAAGTAAGTTCCATGATGAATACATTAGTATATTTCAGTGATTTACAAAAAAAAAAAAAAACAGTTTAGAATTTCCCGGCCCTGCCCTGATTTTCCTTACCCATTTTAAACACACTTTCTTGCAGATGCAAATGTTAAAAAAATGTTAAAACAAAATGTAGTTCAGCAGGGATTGTATAATTTTTATTAATCAGAATTCGTATTCATATGATCTAATTAAGAAAAAAAGTTTTGCTGTCTGCCATCGTAACTTCTTGGCAAAACAAAACGTTTTTTCAATGTGTACTTTTTGTTAGGAGGCTGGGTGACCGTAATGCTATGGATTTTACGAAATTTACACCAGTTCCATAAATAGACAGTACAGTAAAGTCATAAAACACTGTTAAACACATTAAATCTAAAAGTTGAATATCTTTGGATATGGGGTAACCCATATCTATTCTTGTATAAACTGCAAAGCGGTTTATAAAACAGCATAAAGTGCAAATTACGTTGCATCGTATCACATAAGTTGAAATAAGCTTCATTCCTTATAGTTATAATTTATTAGTATCTCAATGTAACGTAGGCAAGTTATGTTATACAAAATGGATTAAATCTTTTACCCTATCAAATGACGTTTTACTTCTAAAATTATATTAATATAAAAAAAATACATGTGCAATTTAAGTTATAATTGAATATTTGCACGAAATACTTTAAAATGATTAACTAATGTTTTATATCACATAAATTTGAATGTATTACTTAGTAATACTATAAAAACCATAATTATATATTTTACAATTTGCAAATTGAGAAGTGTATGTCAAACTGTCTATGAAATACAAGTAATATCACTACTTACCAGCAAGTTTCTTATCCAGTAGTACTGTGTAGATGTTGTACACTGTACATCTGTCTGTCTGTGATAAGGATTGGACCTGTACCTCCTTAAACATCCCCTTACATATTATCTCAGCACACCCCTCTGGTAGTTTAGATCCACACTTTGTGATCTGTACAAAATTATTATCAAATTAAAATATGTCATTTTATACTACCTATTTGACTTGCACATAAATGTATCTAAATTCCCTCAGCTGAAACATTCCTTAATTTACACAGAGAAATTGTTTTAAAATTTAACATAGTAGCATGTACATTTATTATGCAAAAATAAAAATTGTAATTAACTGAAAGACTTAATTGACCACTCAGTAAGCATCCCTAATAAATTTCTTGTTCTTTATATGCTTCACATAAACATTATAAACAACTTACTTGTACCTTGCATGAATCTATTAGGAAAAAAAGGCAAGTATCGGTGTCTCACCAATCATTTCACATTTATAATCCTTTTAAAAAAGGTTAATAGTGCCACTAAGACTTAGCATATTTGATTTAGGAATGGCTTCCATGAATTTTTATTTCAAAAATAAACATGAAATTCTCAATCCTTGTCAAAACCTAAAAACTTCTAGTTTCAATGCATATCTCTTGCTAATGGTTCAGTATTCTCTGTGTGTTTACTTATAAGCATTGAATTCATATTTTTGGATGTCTTCGGTCCTATAACACACCTGGCCGTGCCAACAAATTGAATACCGCGCGTTAGCGTGGTATGATAATTTGTAGGCACCGCCAGGTGTGTTATAGGAACAAAGACATCCAAAAATATGAATTCAATGCTTATATTTACATTCTCTAATTTTCCTTCATCATAATTGCTTATTCCATTAATCTTTAATGTGAATTTAGCACCCTTGAAAACTGCAGTGGTTAATAGATGTAAGAGAGGGAAAAAAAGACAAATTTATTCTTAACACACATTACGTTATTTTTTACGTTAATTTTTCAGGGTTATAGTTTTTCAGTAAATTGAAATAAAACATTTTACCTTTTGGTGTTCCTAGAGTATTGAAAATGCTTATAGTTCCTACTGTGTATTCTAACGCGCAGTGACAATTGAATGTCATGGATTTTTAATTGATTTCATTAGGAAAACTAGAAAACTGACCAGTCAGCAAGGGCCCCGCTAAGGGGTAGAAATATAAGTGTGAAGCTTATGAAATAAAGCAACAACTGTATTTTTTAAATTTCATGATACCGGTAATTCCTGAATTTCCAAAAACCTGTAGTGACCTTGTATTTACATAAAACAGGAAAAATTTCATGTCTTATAATAACTCAATTAAATGTGTACCCTGGTATTTAAAAAAGATTTAGTATGCAGGTGTTTTAAAAAATGCAAGCCTTCAGTGAATGCAAATATCATCCAGGGTTGACCTCAACTTCAAAACAAACATCAGTTGCAGACAAAGGTGTTCATTAATTTCCATGTGGCAGATTAAGATAAGCCTCTAAATTTTCTGCAGCAAGCAAGATAATTTATCCCAGGGGATTAATTGTACTGCTCTTTCATCCTTTTCTTTAAAACTTACAATAAGAACTTTTTTCAGGAATAGACAGAATAGGGTTATTATCTGATTACCTGTTAAAATTAACAACATTAAGGAAGCAAAAAATTAAATAAATAATTAAAAAATTAATAATTATAATAAAGGATATCTTAATATACGAGGGTTGTTAGAAAAGTTCGCGGACACATTGATTTACGGAAAATCTATTGTGTACTGTTAAGTATGACCAATGTCCGAATAAATCCCTACATTATATTTGTCTATATATTTGTATGTAAAAAATCAGGTCCATTTACTACAATCTTGAACATTTACAGCGATTTTTACTATGAGGTCATGGGATTCACGCAGCAATCACTTGACGTCGACGTAACAGCCAGATTTCAACCCATTAAGCTTCGTCGCAGTTCACAAAATCTTTTTTCATATTTTTCTTATCTATTTTCTACTCTAAAATTGAATATCTATATCAAGACATGTTACTTTTCTACTATAATGTCTTTTGTACTGATTTAGATACTAATGAGATATTTTGAAAAAATAGTCAATACAGTTAATCGATTATGTATGGAAACTATGCAAAACCATACAGGCACAACATCCATGCGATAAGAGGGTATTGAAGTATCGATTAAGTTCATCATTCAAAATGTTAAACCTTCCATTATTATAAAGCTACAACCATTTGAAAACTTTTGTCCTTTGTATGTGTAGGAAATTCCCGGCAGCATCTTGCACATTTTAATCTCTTTTTAAGACATTTTCCTGTCTGCATACATAATTTTACGTTGTGCAGTGCTCCATGACACTCAATGACGTTCCAATTTTCGGCTGTGTTTTTACGCGTTGATCATTTATAAATGGCTATAAAACAGTCATATAACCTCCAATGTGATTCAAAATTTCTCCCAGTGTTGTTTCATGAATACTTTAGCGACAGGTAAAATATCACAAATCTCTTTGCGCTACAATTGTGCAATTTTTAATTTTGATTAAGAGTCTATGTGATGTAAACGTGCCAAAATGGAGCATGCTCCGTGAAGCAAGATTTATCAAAATAAAACAGCTGTATATTTTTCAATAAGCACTGGAGGGCACCAAATTTTTGTATATTTATTGGAAAATAGGTTAAGATTTTATCTAAAAAATTTGACCGGTTTCTTGGAAATAGCGCGCTCACAATAGAACTTGTCCGCGAACTTTTCTAACACCCTTCGTATATATATCTTGTTTTTAGAATTCAAATAAAATCATAACTCTTTGTGTGTGGTATTTTACCAAAATAAAGTATGAACAATATTTAAATCCACATTGATTCCAAATTGACCTGAACTTCAAACAGAGGTGGTACACTGATTGATCTCAATGTGACAAATAAAGATAATGCTTAGGATTTTCTTCAAGTGGAAGGTTAATTAATCCCAAGGGATTCTTGCACAAGCTTTCATAGTTTAAAATAGGAACATTCTCAGCAGTTAACTCTCTTTGCCCATCCATTCTTATGCATATTTAACAATCTACCCCACCACCCCAGCTCCAAACCAGAAAACATAGACAACCAAACTAAGCATCAAAATATGTCTTTCCACTTACTAAACAACCATACAAAATTTGAACTTAATTGGACAACCATAAAAAAAGTTATTAGAAAAAAAAAAACAGAAAATTTGTGGACGGAAGAATGACAGACAGACGGACAGACAGAGTGATTACTATAGGGCACCCGCAAATCCTTGCGGGGCCCTAATTACACTGAATGTAAATATAATTCATTGCACATCTTGCTGTTATATCGAATAAATTTAAAGTCCAACTACACAGTCAATCTTTGTGGTTATCTAATATGCAGAGTAAAAACTAGGTCATTCAGGTAGGCAACACCTGACAAACATGGCTGCCAGAACTACAAAAAAACATCCACTGGGCTCTCCTCAAGGGTTATAGTTTTTCAGTAAATTGAAATAAAACATTTTACATTCTGGTATTCCTAGAGTATTGAAAATGCATATAGTTCCTACTGTGCATTCTAACGCGCGGTGACAAGGTTTCGCGTGTGTTATAGAAATTTGAATGTCATGGATTTTTAATTGATTTCATTAGGAAAATTACACTGAATGTAAATATAATTCATTGCACACCTTAGTGTCATATCGAATAAATTTAAAGTCCAACTACACATTCAATCTTTGTGGTTATCTAATATGCAGAGTAAAAACTAAGTCATTCAGGTAGGCAACACCTGACAAACATGGCTGCCAGAACTACAAAAAAACCTCCACTGGGCTCTCCTCAAGAGCACATTGTAATGTGTGAAACCCACGATTCACCTATTGATGTTATATGTGAGGACTGTGATGAATTTATTTGTGGCGATTGTGCAAAATCAGATCATAGAGATCATAACTGGAAAACCCTAACCACCGCAGCCATTCAAATGAGGAGGGGTCTCTTTAAATTTCTGAAGAAGATCAAGGAAGAAGATCTGTCTGGGATTGATGAGAAGATGGAGAAGGTGTCTAAACAGATCACAAAAAATGAAGAACAGTGTGACTCTGAGATTAAAAAGCTTCAGAAGCATTGTGATGAGATTATGGCCAAACTGACAGAAATCAGAAAACAACATGAACAAACACTGAGAGGCGATTTAGTTAAAAAGAATGATCAACTGAACCATGAGAAATCTGAATTAGACAAGAAGAAGAGAGGAATCGTTGACACAGTGGAATTCATGGAGGAGAATAACAGCACCATGTCAGATTACAGCTTGATTGACAACCACAGAGAACTGAGGAAAATGCTGACAGATCTAGAATTGGAGATTCATACGACAAACTGTGTACATTCAGTGAGGTTCACTAGAGGGGAAATCAATGATGACTTACTTGAGTCTATGATTGGAAAAACTATAGATGTAGATACATGTATTGACTTAACTCTAATAACCTCATTTCAATATGGAGATAAAACAATTGATGTGCTGGAAGCATTCAGTGAAGAAAAATGTTTCATAACAGATATTGTTTCAGAATATACAGAAAAAGTTACCAAGGAAGGAGCAAAAGAACAGAAATTTAGTATCATTCCAAATGACATGTGTGTGACTGATAACGGGGATATTTATTTCACTGATGGTGGTAACAAGTCCATCAGCAACACCATCCACTGTCTCATGCCATCAGGAACTTTGTCTATAGTCATCAGTACAAATCCACTGGTACCAATAGGAATCTGTCAGTCAGTGGACGGTGGACTACTGGTCACCTTGAGAGACAAGGAATCAGATCTTTACAAATTAGAGTCACACAGCAGACGTCTGGTGAGACACATCACAGTGACAGGTGATATCATCCATGAGTATGAGTACCAGGAGGACGGTCACACCAGACTATTTACATGGCCAGCCAGAGTCACACAGAACAGAAACAGTGATATCTGTGTTGTGAACCGAACAAGTCTCTCTACAGGTGAACTAGTGATTATGTCTCCCTCTGGTCGTATGAAGTCTGTCTACCATGGACAAAACCCAACAGAGGAGTTTAAACCAATTGAAGTAGTGTGTGACTCTCACTGTAACATTCTTGTTACTGACTTTCATAACAAACAGATTCATCTGCTGAGTCCTGATGGGGAGTTCCTGAAGTTCTTACTGACAGAGAAAGAAGTGAACTATCCATACTCACTGTCCCTGTACAAGTCTACATTGTGGGTGGGGTACTGGGAAGGACTTGTTAAAATCTTTCAGTACAAATGGCAAAATTTATGAAGTGCATAAATATCATCAAATTTATCAATATGACGTATAATTGCTTCACCTCGGTCAATTCTGATATTTTTCTGGCGAATAACAAACCATATTCAACACACAAAGGAGTCCATAATTGTATAATATTCAAAGATTTAATAACTGTGAATTTATATTTCTATATCATTTACATACTATGTTTATCCAACTGATGTAGTACATCCTTGTAACTGACCCTAGCAACAAACAGATCCATCTACTGAGTCCTGACGGGGAGTTCCTGAAGGTCTTACTGACAGATAATAAAGTTAAAGTTGTCCTTATACAAGTCTACACTGTGGTTGGATACTGGGAAGGATTTGTCCAAGCATTTCTGTGCAGGGTATAAAAGATAACACACATGGTCATGATTGGTGATCCTCATTCATGTGATATTAAAAGTACTATAATCAATCTTGTTTCGTACGAACAATGATTTTGCGAATTCATGGATAGAGCAAAATCATCTTGGATCTCCAGCTATATAAATTTAATGAAATTCCTATAATTTAGGACATAATGAAATACGGATATAGCAAAGTAATCTCAAAGGTCCCAGTGACTTCATTATAACTGAGTTTAGCTGTACATATTAGTATACTTCCTTAAAATCAACATACTGTAGCTTGATGTGTATAAACACAAAGTCTTCATATTTCAATCAAACATTTTCACAGCATCACCAAAGTACTATAAATCTTTAGTTATGTTCCCCAAACAAAGTTGGGGAACATATTGTTTTTACTCTGTTTCTTATTAGGGTCTTCCGTCTTCAGCGGAAGACCCTTCTATTATTCTTCGGTTTCTTTTTTACCTTTATTAAGGTCTTCCGTCTTCAGCGGAAGACCTTATTGTTTTTCTTAGGTTTCTTTTCCACTATTTTTATTATTGTTTTTTTTTCTTACCGATTTTGTGCGCGCGATTTCTCGAGAACGGCTCGATCGATTTTCATGAAACTTTCAGGTCTGATAGAACATCAAAAAATCTAGACATATATTTTTTTATTTTGATGACGTCACTTCCGGTTCGGAGATTTCTGCGATTTAGTGATTTTTAGAGGGTCACTTTGTCCGGCAGTTTTCTTAAAAAGCACTTAACACAGAAGCATGAAATTTTCGGTGATGCTAGAGCAACCTTTGGAGAAGTGCACTAAGTATATCACAACTACCGGAAGTACGAAGCGCCGACGCTCGCTATGGCCCGAAAATAGTCCTATCAAGAATTTCAAAATTTTTAGCACCTTTTCTACAATAACTTTTTACCTGAAAATATTTTGTTAAAGCATGTACAACAAAAAAGGTGTAGAATTTAAAGATCTTTCAAATGACCTCTCGAAAAAAGGGCTGGCCCCTAAAATTAGGGGCCAGGAGGGACCGTAAGTTTTTCCTTTCTATCTCAAAAAGTATTGAGAATTTGTGATACGTCAAAGAAGCAAAATTGTTCAAAATGTCAAGCTTAATCTATTGGAATCGTCAAAATACGTCCGCCGTCGTCACTTCCGGCCAAACCGGAAGTAATCGGAAAACGCGTATTTTTGCCGTTCTTCACAGGATTTTTGGTAACATATGTCTCTGGGAGCATTAAAATTAATTTTCCGTCCGTCGTCGTCATTTCCGGTCAAACCGGAAGTAGCAGAAAATGGCTTATTTTTGAATTTATTAATATGGATTTAGAGGATTCAAGCCATTTTGGGGCGTTATTTCACATATTTATTAAAAATGACAGCTACATCCGGTCAAACAGGACGGAAGACCTACTCGTTGCTTAGCAACGAGCTTTGCTCTAGTTATTATTATTATTATTATTTTTATTCTTTTTTCTTCTTACAAAATTTGTGCAGAAGATTTCTCGGAGATGGCTCGTTCGATTTGCTTCAAATTTTCACGGTAGATGCGTTATCATCTGAAGTTAATTCCGGCAAATTATTTTTTGGAAATTCACTTCCGGTCGGGAGTTATCGCCCTTTGATCAAAATTTGGAGGACCTCCTTGTCTGTGATGGAACTCAAAAACGGCTCAAGCTAGAAAGCTGAAATTTTTAGTGATGATAGAGGACATGTTCCCATATTGCACCTGGGTTAGGATATTTTCCGGAAGTGCCTAGTATGGAAGCTCGGTAGGGGTCAAAATTTAGGACACGTTTTATGAGTGGTTTTTTGAGACATTTTGTATCATATCATTTAAAATATGAATATTTTGTAAAAACATACTGAACAACATTTGTGCAAAATATCAAGATCTTTAATATGATATCAAGAAAAATGTGCTGACTCATCAAATTAAGGGCTGAAAGGGGCCAACAGTTTTTATTCAATAACTCTTTTAAAGTCAATATTTTGTTATACATTACTGAAGCAAAAATGTTAATCTCAATCATTTACAACTTTACATAATAATTTTTATGTCATATGGTACATAATTAGGGGCCACAAGGGGCCAGAATGCTAAATCTTTGATGCTTTATATCTCGAAATAGAGAAATATTTTGATAAGCAATATTGAACAAAAGATGTTCAAAATAATGTTCTGAGCAATATGCAACCTTTCATTTTCTGCTAAACAGCCCCATTAAGGAGTTGAAGGGTTGGCCCCTAAATATTTCTTTTGCTAATAGCTCAAAAACGAAAAGGAATTTCTAAACAGTTGTTGAACACAAAATGTTCAAAATCTTAAGATCTTTAAGATGAGATCCTGAAAAAGGGGCTGGGCACTCAAATTAGGGGCCAAGAGGGGCCACAAGTCTTCAATCGATAAGTCTTTATCAGTTAATATTTTGTAATACATTACTGAAGCAAAAATGTTTATCTCAGCCATCCACATCTAAATATTATGATTTTATGTCGTATGGTACATATTTAGGGGCCACAAGGGGCCAGAATGCTAAATCTTTGATGCTTTATATCTCGAAATGGAGAAATATTTTGATAAGCAATATTGAACAAAAGATGTTCAAAATAATGTTCTGAACAATATGCAACCTTTCATTTTTTGCTTAACGGCCCCATTAAGGAGTTGAAGGGTTGGCCCCTAAATATTTCTTTTGCTAATAGCTCAAAAACGAAAAGGAATTTCTAAACAGTTGTTGAACACAAAATGTTCAAAATCTTAAGAGCTTTAAGATAAGATCCTGAAAAAGGGGCTGGGCACTCAAATTAGGGGCCAAGAGGGGCCACAAGTCTTCAATCGATAAGTCTTTATCAGTTAATATTTTGTTATACATTACTGAAGCAAAGATGTTCATCTCAACCATCTACATCTAAATATTATGATTTTTATGTCGTATAGTTCATAATTAGGGGCCACAAGGGGCCAGAATGCTAAATCTTTGATGCTTTACATCTCGAAATGGAGAAATATTTTGATAAGCAATATTGAACAAAAGATGTTCAAAATAATGTTCTGAACAATATGCAACCTTTCATTTTTTGCTTAACGGCCCCATTAAGGAGTTGAAGGGTTGGCCCCTAATTATATCTTTTGCTTATAGCTCAAAACAAATAAGAATTTCTAAACAGTTGTTGAACAAAAAATGTTCAAAATCTTAAGATCTTTAAGATGAGATCCCGAAAAAGGGGCTGGGCACTCGAATTAGGGGCCAAGAGGGGCCAAAAGTCTTCAATCGATAACTCTTTATCAGCTTAATATTTTGTAATACATTACTGAAGCAAAGATCTTTATCTCAACCATCTACAACTATATATTGTAGTTTTTATGTCGTATGGTACATGATTAGGGGCCACAAGGGGCCAGAATGCTAAATCTTTGATGCTTTATATCTCGAAAGGGAGAAATCTTTTGATAAGAAATATTGAACAAAAGTTGTTCAAAATAATGTTTTTAACAATATGCAACCTTTCTTTTTTTGCTTAACGTCCCCGTTAAGGAGTTGAAAGGTTGGCCCCTAATTATATCTTTTGCTTATAGCTCAAAAACGAAAAAGAATTTCTGAACAGTTGTTGAACAAAAAATGTTCAAAGTCTTAAGATTTCTAAGATGATATGAATAAAGAGGGCGGATTCCTAAAATTAGGGGCCGTTAGGGGCAAAATACCGATTTTTAAAAGTCTCAATTGTTCAATGTCTTTTTACAGATTGTGGTAAATCATTATTTTAGAATAAAAATTGCAATCAAAATCTTATCTCATCTCATCAAGAATTGGACGGAAGACCCACTCGTTGCTCGCAACGAGATCTCATCTAGTTATTATTATTTTTCTTCTTCCTGGGCACTTTTTTGTCCGCGAATGATCTCGTAAACTACACATCCGACTAAGGTGAAATGTTTTTAGGGCCAGTAGACATGTTATGTAGATTTGTGGAACAAAGGTGATTTTGCGTGCACGTGCTTGCAAGAGCGCGCACGTGCAACACGAGAAATGATCAATATAATGAATGTAAGCGTAACTTTTTACATTTTTGATGAAATGCTTTGAAACTCATAACATTAGGATATATTAGTAGCACAGACAATATGACATGGTCAAAATAGCAAGATCTCATGCGCATGCACGTGCGCTTCGCTCTGATTGGCTGAAACTAAAGTCTTAATATCTTTCTTGTTTTTTGGCGAAACCCATTGAAATTTTGAACATAGCCATACATTAGGATATTCTACATGATATATAGCAATTTTCATAAAAACACGTGCATGCACGTGTGCTGCAATCTGATTGGCTCAAACTTTAGATAGCTATAACTCACTTGGTTTTCAACCAAACAGGATGGGATTTGGAACATAGATAGATATAATAGACTTCTACAAGAAGGTATGGTCACCATGCACATGCATACACGTGCGTGTACTTGGACTGCAATCTGATTGGCTGAAACTTAAAACAGCTATAACTTCCTTGGTTTTCAACCAAACGGGCTGGGATTTGGAACATAGATAGATGTAATGAACTTCTACAATAAGGTATGGTCACCATGCTCATGTATGCCCGTACATGCACGTGAAATGAGTACATTCAAAAATACACTTGAA